CTTTGCCATTTCTGTAATTTAAAAGGTTTTGGATGTACCGAGAGCCAAAACACTGTGTATTTACAAAATCCATTTTAAGAACATTTGCTTTATAACATGCACTGTCATTTCATTGGAGGCTGTACAAAAGAAATAAATAAATCACTTTTGTCATTCCAAAAGGCGGAGGAATGTACTGCATGCATGGTCTAACCACATCTATCCGAGTCAATGTGCACCAACAAATCAAAATGGAGTGTTTCAAAACTTGTAGCGTGCTTCAGCTGTGAAAATGACAAGAGAGATTACACGCACATGCATCAAAAGCTCATTAAATTCATAGAACAGTTGTATTAATGATCCCTGGGGTAAACAACATCCTACAGACGCGTGCATTCACACATATGGAACAAACAGGTTGGAAAACATTGCAGCAACATGTTGAAGAGTCATTCCAACATACACAAACAAAGCTGGTATTAGAATAGCTGGTGTTTTTCATATGCATACTTACAGTTTGAGAAAAATTACGAAGAAAAAAATAGAACAGTCTTGATATGTAAGAAAAAGTGACAAAATATTTACATAACGTTAATACAGAATAACCAAAGATTCAGAATCAGAAACAGAGCCTTGAGAAAAATTCGCTTCCTCAACCTATAAATAACACTAATGCCCATAATACGTTTTTTTTTTTTTGCTTTTTCTGCTTTCTATAAAAAAAGAAAAATCAGCTCTATACAAAAGTTTAAAAAAATACCCATATAAAAAGGAACATTACGTGGAAAAGAAACGTCTAACTAACAGGTCTAATTAGGGGGGGAGTGGAAATGAGAGGTCTGCCACTGGAGACAAATCCAGGTGATGCCATGGATAACCCTACAGGGGGATTCAACAGGAGCAATCACCAGGTTTCTTTCATGTCTTCTGGCAGCTGTGGAGGAAGTGTGTCTGGAAGGTGTGCGGCCGCCTGCGTGGACGCCAGAGTCTTTTGTTTTTTGGAACTGCAGCAGGGCTTGAAGAGTCGAGGATCAATGATCACCTCTCCAAACCGCCCCTTATAGACGATCCCACAGCACACCTTTTGCCTAAACAGGAAAAAAAGACACAGTTAAATCATATTAAAAAGCACAGATTAATTTATTAAACTTGCCCTATCTCATTGCCAAACACAAAGCTTTTCAATGAGAGCAGCAGCTCACCTTTTCCAGTACGAACGGTCCAGGAAGGAGAAGATGGAGGGAGTCGGGCGTCTTTGTTTGGACTCGATGTCTGAGCCATCATCTGACTGGTTGCTGTAACTGGGCGACTGCGCTGGAGACACACTGGAGGTGGTGCTGTGGGCGTCTGAGTCTGCTTGGTAAACAAAATAAATACTTCAACATTGCCATCAAATTGATTTGACCAATTTCTGACTATACTTCAGTTAAGTTTATACAATAACTTTCCAACTGATCTAAAAGGCACAAAGTGACAATGAAATAAATCATTAAATAAATAAAATTAAATAAATCCAAATTAGGATAAAGTAGGTCAACAAACAGCCTAGATTCAAACTAGGGCGAAAACTACCAATTATGTTTATTATCAATTAATCTTTTTTTCTAGATTTTTTTTGGTCTTAAAAACAAAGTCAGAAAATAATGAAAATGTCTGTAGCATTCTACTAAAGCCCAAATCTGCTTGTTTTGTCTGACCAACATTCCAAAACCTAAACATGTTCTTCATCAAAGAAGATTCATAAAATGAAATTTTCACATTTAAGATGCCAGAAACAGTTAATTTTGCAGGGTTCATACAGCTTAAAGCAAATGCAATTTAAGGCTTTTCATAATGTCACTCAATTTTTTTTAATAAAAAAACCCAAACAACCAAAAATTAATAATAAAAATTCATAAATACATGAATGTGGTACATTAAAAAAAATCAGAGGTTACCAATTCTTTTAAATTTTATAAGGCAAAATCAGAAAAAAATTGTGAAATTTTACTTTGCATGTCTGATCATTTGTTAGACTCAAAAGATTGGTTTAAGACATTATAATACCAGTTAAGGCTTTGTTTTTAGATCAATGAATTCAAGGCCTTTAAGACTTTAAGGATCCGCAAAACCCTGTTCGGGCATTTTTTTCCTTTACATAATAAATCCCCAACTTATCAATAATGAAAATTGTTGCTGATTAATTTTCTGAAAACTGACTATTTGTTTCAGCCCTGATGTGAACCTAAAAATACTGCAGCTACACAGTGCATGCCCTAACCCAAAGAGCCACAAGATGCTGCTATTACAGTCATTTTTATTTGGGCTTCGATGAAAACGACAACAAAAACAAAACTGACATTGGGTCAAATTGCATTTATGTGTGTCACCTTCATATTAGGCACTTTCTTGTGCTTTAATTTTACCTTCTGTTAATAACAACAACATATAGTCCTTGTGTGACAAATTCAAATTTTTAAAATATATGCAAAATCTCACAACACATGCAAGTTGCTTGGTAATATATTTTAACAACTTACTTTGTCTCTTTAATTTGTGAAGCTTCTTTAGTTTGCTTTTCTTCTTTCCATCGCCGTTCTTGATCTTCTTGGGTTTTGTCATCTTGAAGCCTGGTCCAGCTCGGGCATCCACCACCTGAGTCACACCAGGCAAAACATCAAGTCAGTTTAAAGTTATGACATGGCAACTGGACAATTTGGTGCTCATTACTGTGTGCACACATCACTTACATGGTTCCAGTTCTTCTTGGAGCCATTGGGAAGCTTCTTCCACCTCTTCACCAGCAGCACACAGGCATTGCAAATGTCTCCAACACGGTCTTCTGACAACCTTTGGGAAAATGAATGAATGAAGAGTGATTGCAAAAGTTGAAGCTGATGCATTCATTTTATTTTCAGTTCATACACAAACACACACGCGCGCAAAACACAATACAGACGTGTCATATGAATGAATGAATGAGAGCGGTTACCCAAAACAGAGCCCGAACGTCTCCTCATATCGACTGCTGTCTGTGAAGCGTGAGCTGGAGGACTTGGTCTTGCAGATGCAACAGCCGTCGTTACTCCGGTAGATCTTTGACTTGTGGAAGCCAAACATAGTCTGCTTGTTGGTTGGTGTTATGGCAAAAAATCTGGAAACGGAAAACAAAGCTCGGTAATGAGCACCCTGGATGTCTGCAGACAGTTTTGCTTTCTACTACCGAAAAGGGGGCGGTCCCTACACGCACACACATACAGACACAACCGAGACTCTTAACCCATAAATTAAACATATCCTGTATGAAAGTCACGTTCTGGGTAAGAGTAACGATGATGCATGACATATACAGAGCACAAACAACCGAATAAGCACGACTTGCTTTGGCTTAATCGACAAGATGTAAGCATCCTAAGGAATTTAAAGTCAAGTCGCGTAAACACCAAAACAGCATAAAATTAACAGACAAGACTGCCATTATAGTAACATTATAACATCATGTCATTAGCTGGGTTAAAGTGACAAAACATAAATGACTAGTTATGTTACATTTGATGTGGTAGCAACGGGTACAGGCACCCAAACTTTCCAGCACTCTTCAGGGTTAACGTCTGGCGAGTCACAGAAACGTTACACCCACAACATAGCGTTTTACTACCGTCAACTGGCGCTAATGTTACTTTTCTCAACACCGGTCATTACATCGGAGACTTTGCGAATTTTCTAGCACAAACACAACGAAAACAGTTGGTGATATATATTGTTAAGTTGGAGATGTGTTTGCAGTGAAAACTCGACAACAAAAAGCGGGCAGCAGCGCTTTTTGAAGTGAAGAAACAAAAAGCTACCGGGCTATTCGCCGAATAATGTGTGTACGTTAACACGCGTGTCTGAATAACACGCAATTATCAGCTTAGTGCGGTTCGTGTATGTTCTCGATATTTTTGATTAAATGTAAAAAGTTGCGATTAAACCCATCTTCCCCTTTAAATTCAAACTTTTGCCCGCTCGAGCGCCAAATACGGCTCATTGTTGTTAGCTGTTAGCATGCTAGCTAGCCGAGTTCGCTACCATTACCACGCCACGCTCTCGTTCACTTCCACGTTATCCCATTGTCGTCTTTGTACACTTAACTCGCAACAACTGGAAACGAACACGTCAGGCTACGACTGCACCACATCCCCATCAGTTTCTTCACACACAACAAATAAGTATAATGTGACAAATGTAATGTCTATACAAGAGAAATAACAGTGCACTTACTGAACAAAAACTTTGAATCTTCGCCGTATTCTTTCCACGCACTGCGCATGCTCTTACTACTACTGCATACAGCTGTCTATTAGAATATCATTAGCATAAAAAGCCGGAATGAAAGGAGTGAGCGTAGAATGACCATATAAGGAGTGCAGCCGTTGGGTTTGAACCTGGAGTCAACCAATCGCAGCTGTCCTCGCGTACGCCACACACGACATGCATGATGGGAGATGTAGTGAACGAGCGGGAGGTCTCCGTGCGGTCCCAGTTGTTAACGGCTTTCTTTGGAACTCAAAGTCCCATAATCCACCTGGGTTAAGGCTTTAAAGAAAAACAGCTATTTGACATGGCGCGAACGAGTTTGTTTACATTTTCTCAGCTGAGAAAGCACACATAGCAGAAAATATTACAGCGCGTCTACACTTAAATCACTGCTGTTAGTTTTCAATTTATTTATTTGACACAAAAGTGACTTTAATTAGACATAAATTTAATTTTTAAAATATTTTTGGAATATTTTGCTTTTAATAAATTGAACAAAAGTTGACCAAAATACAGCCAACAATTATTTTCATTTACAATTAATGTTTTAATTTTTTTGGACTACATTTTCTCAGCTGAGAGAGCACATATGGCAGATATTATAAATATACTTAGTGTTAAAAGATGTTTTTGGGATGTACAGATTATTAGTTACCCTGTTTAAATTGTAATAAGTAATGTAACCATTTTAATTACTCAATGAAAGTATAAAATTAATGAAAAACTGATTGACTCTAATACAATTAAATATAAGTTTAACGCATTACAGATGCTTTATTCTTAATATATTTTTACACTGTACACTGTTGCTCACTTAGCAAACACTACATTACACAGCTATGTCAATAAATGTACAACAGTATTGGAAAACAAAAATATAAATTTCCCAAGATGCTCATGTGTGGGTCGTACACAGACGAGTACAACACAGTCATTCCAGACGTTGTTGGCACAGAAAAGAAGTCCTTCACATATTAAATCTCTTGTTCTGCACAGTACAGTTCAAAGTATGTAACGGAGGAGGGCCCGGTAACACCTCAAGACACCCCGGTATGGAGTCTGTAGGGGGGGTTGAATTTTCTGTTTGTGGATATTGCATAGCAAGAAACAATGATGACAAAATCAGGAGTGGGAAGGAGCTGTCCTTTTGGCTCCTCACATGGGAAGCAGGAGATCATCCCTTATCACGAGGAGTCTACACGGATCATCACACTGTTCAGAGAAGAGGGCAGATGTAGTGTCAGGGCTGGGATGATGGTTGGGGAAAGGGCTGGCTGGAGGTATTTACACGAAGGCTGTCTTTGTGATCTACTGTGCACGGAAAGCTGGGTCAAGCATCTCTTGTTGGACTTGTGTGTGGAACACAAGCAAAGACTCGGGGTATTTTCCTTTATCCAGCTGAATATAACGTCCATCACTGGATACAGCGTTGAGCCACACAGTCTTATTATCATGCAAGAAGGATCGTTTTCTCTGCTGAAGGTATTCCATGGAAAAGATCTGCATACTAGTACATTTCTCCGGGACAGGCCCAAATGTAACAGCCGTTATTTCCATGTAGGTGAATCATATTTCACACTACAAACCCCCTGTCATACACATACTTATAAAGCATACTTCTGCATCATTTGCTTTAAGCTCTGCGTAATGACATTGGAATCTGAGTTGACAACAGAGCAAGCAACTTGACTGATTTAACAAAATAATACTGTTTTTCTCTGAAAATATATTAACAGTTTTGATCCTCCCTTTCCATTAAATATAGCCATTGTCAGCAGTTCACGATAACAATGAAAATATTTAGCTTTCAATAAAACATTATAGCACAAGTAGGTCATCATCGATAATGTGAAAATTATGGTTCATAATAGAAAACATATTTTTAACATCTAATGGCAACATCATCGAGGATAAAAATAACAACATATCTTGAAAGGCTCATTGCACTTCATATATGGCAATTGTAACAGTAGCTTTAATATAAGCCAGAGAATGTCCTTTGTTCAAGTCGGTTTCCTGCATATAAAAGGTTCAGTTATTCTTTTTAGTGGTCCCCAGTGATCGTCCTGGTCGGGTACAACTGGTGGGAGGTTGGTTTGGTTTCAGATACCAACGCCTTTGACGAGCGAAGCCTCCAGGGTGATGTTGAACTCCTGCAGAGTCTGTAGCACTCTGATCAGTGAGTTAACCAACGAGCGGTCCTTCATCAGTGCGGTGTCTTCGTACATCTGAGCAGTGATTGGACAGTCTGCGAGCAGAGCGATCCAGTGATGAAGCAAATGGTCTCTGAGAAAAGAAGACACACGTGTGAAGTCAAAACAGCACCAGAGACTGTCAGTAGTTACTGCATATCCCAATTTTCCAAAAAAGTAATTTCAAACCGTGGCAATGTAAAGGCTAATTTCAAGAACAAACAACATTAAACTGTAATTAAAATCTCTTCCTCTACAAATGCTTGTTGAAAAACTGTAATACTGAAATTAAAAATTATTTTCATTAGTGATTCATTTGTAATTTCTTCAATGTACTGATTATTTGTTTGGCCTATAAAATGTCGTCACAATGTCCCCGAGCATGAGGCGATGTCTTGCTGTTATTTGTCCAAGCAACAGTCAAAAACAATGATATGAAACAGACAGAAGCAGCTATTTCTCACACTCAAGAAGCTGGAACAATGAACAAAGTTTGGTATTTCTTTCTTGATAAATGACACAAACAGTTGCTCCATCATCCAAAATGTTGGCAATAAATTTTCTAACAATCGAATATTCAATTACTTAACTAATTGTTGTGATGCTACTTTTTTGTACAGATGAGTCAAACATAGAAAAGGATAAAATCACTGTGCACTCAATGCACAGAAACATCCACCCATCTTCAGGGGAAACTAAAGGAAACCAATTAAATATCTGATACTTAGAGAATCCTCAAAGGAGAGATTGTTTTCACTTGACTTCCTGCAGGTCAGGATGAAAGGTCAGACACAGAGTGGAGCATCATTTCAGCAGGAATGATTCATTTGTATCCTGGGGGCTTAGGCTTGATTTATAGTTGTATAGTGGTAATTCATTTTGATCCTTGTTAACAGTTTTCCAAAAGCAATGCTCATAACAAAGAATATATAACATTAAGGCATTAAATCAAAAGGAAAACGATGTGGTTATGAGGTAGATACAAAGACTATAGACGTATCATAACCAAAGTGTCTTCAACTATTCCAACCTGCTGCCTAAAAGTCCCCCAGTCTGAAGTATGCTGAGGAGAGGAATGTCACTCTGCAGCTTAAATCTTGTGTTTACTAAACAAGTTTGATCACATCCATTCTGAAGACTGAACTTCATTTAACTAACATTTAAAAATGTTCACTACACCTAAATGTGTTTCTGGTGGTTAGCGGGTGCTGTCGGCCTACCTTGCACCCAGACAGACGAGCATTTGGAACTTCCCGTCCTTGCCGATGTTTCTGGACGTGTTGTTGATGGCGCGCATGAAGCGGCAGAAGTGGCGCACTCTGGTTTGCCAGTTTTCATCTGGAGTCACCTCCCGCTGCTCTGCACTTTCAAAGTACACTTGTGACTTTTCTGTTAAAGCAAATAATAATAATGACAATTAAATGAGTAACAACTGAACACACAGTAATATGAGTAATATGGAGGTCTGTTTGAGGGGACACTTGAGTGTTTGATGGTAGAAACATTTGGACTTTGGGTGGAGTGGAAACAGTGGAAACCGCTTATAGTGATAGCTGTTGCAGTGATCAACTGCTTCAATGGATCTTAATCATGCCTATACAAATGCTGTTAAAATAACTGGCCTATAGTAAACAGGTAGTCCACCTACAGTGTTCATGTTGGGTCTTTTCATATGTGACAGCATTTGGGAACCTATTTCTTTTTATGCTACTCCTGTAGGAGCCAGAATGTGTATTTAACCATTGTTGTTTATTATTTGTTTAGGCTGCACACGTTCTTTTGGTCACATATACTTCCAGTAGTTGTTACTGACACCTGTTAATTCACTGGTGAGGCGGCTCTTAGACAAAGAGGGTGAGTTTTTGGCTCAAACATCACGTAATATTTCATTTCATCTCATTTTGCTTTCGTTATCTCAGTTGTCTGTTTAATAAATCACCATAAAATGCATCCTTGGACTTTAGCATGGAGTCACAGTTATGATCCTGCTCAGCCTCTTGGCAGCTTTTTCACTGATAGTGTAGTCGCTACAACTCCCATGACACTTTGCATCACGGTACCCATCTGCTGCCACCTGGCTACGTGAGGCTGATGCTGCCTGCACACTGAAATTATGACGGTAAAAAGAAATTCACTTTCTCTCTATGAAAAACGTAGTCTCCTCAAAGCATCTGGCTGCTAGAGATAGAAATAGAAAAGGAATGCGCACAGGGAAAGCACCTGTGGGTGAAGCCAGCCTCGTCATGTGAATCGATAACGCTCGGTCACATAATGCCTCAGGAATGAGATAGCTGTATTTTGAAACAGTCAGTACAATTAAGTATTTATCAAGGCTGTCCATTTCATTACTTTATGTTAATATAATAAACATACAAATGTCAATCAGACGGAGATCTGCATGAGAAATAAAGCGGTTAGAGTTATTATCAACTTATAGTGATCAATTTGGCCTGCACAGATGTGATCACCAAGCGGCTTCCACTTTATAAGGGCGTAATGATGTCGAGTCTTTACCCAAGAAGTCCCAGATGAAAACATTCTTAAAGAGTCGGGGTGATTTGAAACCGTGCTGGAAAACTTGCTCCAGAGCCCAGACAAGGCCGTACTCCCCGCAGAGGAGAAGAGTCAGACTGCCTCTCTGCAAAGAGCAAACACAACAGGAAAATTCAAGCAGTTAGAACTGATTATAGGATTGTTGTTTTCTCATATGTGACAAATAGATGGAGAACTTTCTAGATACTGTTCTTAACAGCTCCTCAGATTCAATTATCTCATTAAAATGACAACTTCACTTCCCAATATCTTGCAGAAAAAGAAGTCTAAGGTGCAGAGTATACTGGACACAGCTGTCTCATATGTGGATAAAATGTGCATGAAAAGTAGAATATAACAGCATCTATATTCAAATGGTGACAGAATACAAAATGCATTTCAATTTTAGACATTCTTTATTCTTAGGTGCCCTACATTGTTCTGTCAGTACTGTAAAGAGGTGGAGTTGAGAGTGAAGGGGATTTCCCTGTGAAAAAAACCCCTTTGTACTTTGTATAAACAGTGAATCACTCCTGAAACCTATAATCAACAGTTTAGTTACAATAGGTGTCTCCTTTGAATTATAATTATCACCCCGTGTCCCTTAATAAGTAACAATTAGCAGTGTTGGTGCTTTATACGACAGAGAAAATAATTCTTGGCCGGGACAAATGATGAAGAACAATACCAACTTCTAAAAAGATTCAGAAATAATTCTCCTTTAATGTTTGAACAATGTGAGATCCACCACACAGCGTTCGGTTACTGAGGGGCTCGGGGACCACCAGAGCTGAGAGCTGCTTTTCTTCATTTGTGATGAATAATAGAACTACATGTTGGGGCTCGTCTAGACTGCCGTCTCTCACCTCCTTCTCCGGTTTGTGGAAGTGCTTCACAATCCCATTGATGGCCTCTCCCACTCCCTCCTGGATCTGACCTGTGTTTAGCTCTGGATAAGAAGAAAAGATGCAAAAAAAGATATTGTGAGACAACACGAACAGACACGAGGAGGGGAAAAGTCTCATCCAGGTTTTTATACACTGTACTTATCAATGTGAAGGTATTAAGAACAAAACTTCAAGCATTAGAGAACAGAAAAAAATGGACAACAATGTCATCTGATGCACGTTTCCCCTCAGCTAGAATGTAACAACAAGTCTACTCACCACTATTATTTATGCTGGCCTTACGTTAAGTGACTTTTCAAGCAATTTCATTGTCACAGACTTTGAATGTCGGAATAAAGTCATGAGAGCCTTGCTAGAGTTGTGGATCTTTGTCATTTGGTGTAACATGGTCATAAAACACAGTCTTTGTTTTATCTTGAAGTTCTGATAAAATCAACACCTCACCTACCTAATTGATCTCACTATGCCCTGGGAGGATGCTGTGGAGGAGGCCTACGAGCACAAGAGACTGGAGTACACCGAGACGGCATCTGACACTGAGCAACACGGCTGGAAAGCGAAGGTTTGCCCAGTTGAAGTTGGCTGCAGAGGCTTTGTGGGCAAGTTAACGACCAGGCTGCTTAAGGAAATGGGAATTCGAGGCCAAGCCCAGCGTCATGCCATCACAGCCCTCTCTGGAGCAGCCGAACAGGTAAGCTGGTGGCTATGGATTAAGAGGACAGATGCCACCGGGGCCTCGAAATACCACTAACAACAGCAGGGTACCAGGTAGTAAAGGCAGAGGGGGGAGCACCTGGGACGCCAGGTGTTGCAGATGAGCCCTCTGGAGGTGTCGTGAGCCTATCATCGAAACACCAGTGAAGGAGGGTACCCACCTGATGAACCCAGTAAAGCCTATCCTCCCTAAACCCCCAACCTCCCTTCCCTATCAATTCGGAGTGAGAGCCCGTGTGTAATTCAGTGTATCTGATCCACCTATTGGCACTTATTTTAGTGAAAAATCTTAATTTTTGAAGTGGTTCGCCTCTCAGTCCCACTGTCTCCTCCCACTAGAATAGCGCAGGTAACCAACAGAGGCTGGCAGCAAGTTGAGGCAACAAAATCCAAAATCTAAAGTTTCTACGCAAACAAAGTTTATTTTTATGGATAACAGATGCGGAATTGACAAGAACACAGTCAATATGTGACACCTTTTATCTTGTGTTTCTAGAGTTATGCGTTTTGCGGACACATAAGGAATTGTTAATATGTCATATTTCTTAGAGGGAGTTTGGTGTAATATTTTCCTCCAGGAACAGGATGGAAGATAATCTCAAGGGAAATCGAGTTGTAGTCTTGGAAATAGTGACCCTGAAAGATCCCCGGTCTTCGCAAACTCCTCTAGTGTGACTAAAAACTCACGTTGTCTTTAGATCTGAAACAATGTCAGACTAAAAGTATTTTCAAAGTGTTGTAGTGTATGTTTGGCATTAGGTGTTGCTACAGATGACTCATGATTGTGCAGCTGAGTAACTTACTTGGTTTGCTGTTTGGCGAGATGGTAACAAACCTCCTCATCATCCCAGGCGACTGCTGCATTGGGGGTGTGCGGCACATCCTTTCATCGTTCTCAGTGCTGGGGGTCATCAGCTCTCCCACCAGGATCCTCTCCAGACTGCCGTCATCCACGCCTTTCCCCAACCACCTGCCACACGGAAACCTGCACAACAAACACATTTTGTTGATTGTTTTTTGAGAACTGTGTGGTGAAAGCAATATTGAAAGTGAGTAAGTTTCTCTCAAAAGACACACTCACTTGTAAGTGTGCCCCGTGATCTCGTTGCGCACCACGACACACTCCACAAGCCACTTTGCGTAGAGCCCCGTGTTGTCGTGACCCATCTGCACTGTGGTCAGCTTGCCAAGGTTCTGGCACTGAGAGGAGAGAAACGCACGGTGACATCAGGCACCAAAAATTAAAGTTAATTTCAGAAACACAAGACATTGGCTCATATTTTTATAGATAATTCAGATTTTTAATAATATTTTTCATTTCATTCATCATTTGTTGTCCAACAGGAAACCTGCAGTCAGATGATTGTAATGGCTTAAACAAATAACCAAACTACCACACTTCTTTGGGAAACAATGGTCAAATTATTACTGAGACTGTCTTTTGCAAACATCTGATACAGTTTACAGACCAACGTCTGAGATCAACCTTGGCCTATGAGGGACAACGCAAGCGTAGTGACCTTGCTTCTCTATCAATACCAAGATTTCAGGCTTCCTTACTCTCAGTTTAACCTTGAAATACAATGGTTTAGATCATCAGGTTAAACAGTTAGCTTGTTTACAACCTGTCTGATCTTTTAACCACTTGTGTTTCTTGCTCTGTTAGACCTCACTGTAGCGATATCACCGTGTATCCTGGTCAGAAAATAAATGATGACTAAAACTACAAAACAGCCCTTGTAATAAAGAGGAGTCCTTTGCCTGAGACTCAACACCAACCTCAAAAGTGATCTCCAGAGTATTTCTGGGGACCTGCAGGACTCCAGTCTCTGCCAGCTCACCAGAAACACACACCCAAGGGTTGGCTGTGAACATGGAGCCACCCAGCTTCTTACTGGGAACAACCACCACGTGGTAGGGAATCACTGGAAGACAGAGAGGAGGGAAATGTCATCAGAACAAACTGGTAGTTTATTGTGTGCGTTGTCGGGCTGTTTGGTATCAAAGTAGGACTCACTGATGGTCGTAAAGACGTTGGTGAAACAGAAGTAATCCACAGCGTTAAAGGACAGAAGGTGGTAGAGGAACTGCTCCTTCTCATCATCACAGCGGAGGAAGGCGTATCGCTTGTACAGTTTTCTAGAAGGAAGAAAACGACTGTTAGAGAAAAGTAATGCTAATGATTTCTAAAATAATTAAGTTGCAAAACAGACAGACATTCCTCAACAGTTTCAGCAGCATGACAGATGATAAATCAACCTTGGATAACAAAGTGAGCACTGTTTGTTATAAAGTAGAACAAATGACATGTAAGGTCACAAAGGCAGACGGAAATCCCCCTGACCCAGTTCACCACTCAAATATCAATTATGAAGAGGGCTGTGAATTATTTATGTGGCGGTGGACTACAGTATGATGCTGTGCAATTTCAAAAGAGTTAATGTATTATAAATGGGCAGATCACACATCATCTTCATTTCATATGAGACAGACATTCCTCCAAACACAGAAAGAAGGTCAGGACAAGAAAATGTAAGAGGTAAAAAAAAAGATACTCAGATGTTTAAAATGTCGCAGAAAGACTTATAATTGTGAAACTGTAGCTGACAGCAGAGTTTGACTTTTGCTCACTTTGTAAGCTCGTGCTCTGACAGCAGCTGCTTTAGGTGTCTGGAGAGCAGCTTCTTCTCCATGGAGAGGCGAACCCAGGCTCTGGCCTTGCCCACATCTGTCTTGATCTCACTGATGTTCTGAATGTGTCTGCAAAGAAAATGACAGGTTCAGAGGTTAGAAGAGGTTTGGAGATCAAACAGAAACACATACGCAAACATCAGGACCATTTTCTTCCCATTTTCATCATGTTAAAAGTTTCTCTGTGCTCATCTGAAACTTCAGTTTAACTGGTATATATGCTGGAGACATCCATACATACATGGAGAATGGACTTTTCTGTGCATATGTTTACATGCACACTAACATTCCACTCGTGTTACAAATATTCCAAAATTGATATGGGTCATGTAAACAACATATTCTGTTTGGATTTTCTGAATTATGCTTTATTATTACTACTAAAGCATTTTCTGTTTAAGACATGGGGTATTTCGATATCATTCAGGTTTGAGGAGCAATTTCTGGACATGTATTCAGTGCATTCTGAAAATGCATCCTACTTTGTATTACAGTTTATAGCTGTATTTTGCCTTCTTACAGTGAGCTCTGTGCATTATTATGGATGCTTGGTACACACATGATAAACTACATGTAGGCATGTAAAGGAGTGTTCAATATTTTCTTATCTTCTGAAGATAAGAAAATATTGAACAATTTTAAAAAGAAGACAAAATGAACCTAATCAAATCATGTAAGAGTATTGTATTTTTATAAATAAGGGCAAAAAACAGAAAACTATGTGCACATAACAGTCAGTGAAGTGGAAGACCTCTTGTATCCAGAAGGTCTCTTTCACAAAATATAAAACAAATACCTCTAGACCCAAAGCTTTAACACTGTATTGCAGTAACACAATGCTCAACCTGTCAATTATGATTTTCTTTCCCCTCTTATTTTTATACATTTATTCACTTATATTGCTCTCTCAGTTATTAATTTATTATTTTATTTTATTTTATCTTCAAATTCATACTTTTGAGGTGGGGGTGGGATTACACGTGTGTGTTTGTGTATGTCTTTGTTTATTGTTATTAAAATCAATAAAGATACCGCTGGAAAAAAATATATGAAGTGAACACTGGGCCAATGATACTGACGTCTATGACAATAAACTTATTATTTTCAGGTTGTGGACAAAACAAGACATTAGGGACACACTGGCCGATTATTTATTTTTTTTCTTTTTTAATCATTTTTTGACATTTAATAAACCAAAAAACTAATTGATTAATTGAGAAAATAAATGAGGTGATTAATCAACAATGAAAAAAATGGTTAGTTGCAGCCCTAAGGTGAAGCCACAATGGTGATACAACTGCATTCATACACTCTAATACACAAGTCTGTGTCTAAACTGATGACAAGCAATTGTTTACAGCTGCTATTAACAATTATTTTCATTCATTTTTGATGAAGTCTATAAAATGTCGAGTTTTTAGAACCCAAAGTGATGTCCTAAAATTGTTAGTTTTGTCCATCCAACAGCCAAATTATATTAGATACTCAATTTTCAGTGACATAAAACAGAGAAAAGCAGCAAATCCTCATGTGTGAAAAGCTGAAAGCAGGTTTTAATAATAAACAAAATTGTAATAAACAAATTGTTTCAGCATTACAACTGAATGTTATCCAAAAACTCTGACTCTAACTTTCTCGACCCCAACTCACAGAAACAGCTAACTCTGCCTCAGTAGTGGCATGTGAAACCACAGACGTAGTCCCATGTCATCGCTCCGAGCCACCATCGAGCCTCTGATGTCCAGACGCATTCCCTTCCACTCCACCTGTGCCGTAAGCTGTGTCTGCTAAGAGCTCCTCGTGTCTCCTCCTCTACCTTCCATCCCCCTCCCTGTCTCCACCCTCACACCAACTAACCTAGTTTTCTCCCCTCGTTATCTCCATAGCAACAGAGGAAAACTTCTACAACATGCACTGTTGTTATCACCTCTTTCCTAGAACACAGGGGCTCGAAGATGAGAGGTGCAGCCATCATCTTTAATGTGCCTAAAAATGTGAGCATTTCTGATACTAACTTATCGTCTATAGTAAAAATATTTACTGCCTGTTAAGACAATAAGATTAATAATTAAAACTCATTAAAGGAGGCTGGTGGTTGCTTCTGTGACAGAGCGTGTTTACGATCATGGCGTCAGACGTGTACACGAGTGTGGAGGAGGGTCGGAGTAGACATGAGTGTTTGTGCCCTGGGCTGACCCCTCCTCTCTTTCTCAGTCAGACTGGCGGGGGGTCTGGTAATTAGGCTGGAAGTAACGTGCTGTTACACACACTCACTCTGCGCTGGTTATGGTGGATAACATGATGACAGTGATGGCTGCCACCACACGCGCACACACACACACTCTCTGACAAACACACACAGGTGTTAAAATATGCAGGTGTGCTGTGGGAGCTCTCAGGGTCACTGAGAGGCCTTATGATGACTCATGCATATAAATATACAGGAGTAGACAATTTGGAGCAAATTGGAGCACGAGGTTGGCCTCAGGGTTTGGGATGATGCACCATGTCTCCTCCTTTCTCTTTCCCCTTCATTTCAAATCACATATCTCATTTTCTATAATCTAATGAAGGCAACAACACCCCCCACCCAAAAAAATAATTTTAAAAAAGGAGACAGAGCGTTTTTTTTGTCACTGCTGCTACGAAACAACCTGCCTGTCTGAGAATCTCAGATTTGCTAAATCCATATCTTCTTTCAAATTGCTCCACTTTTACTCAAAGGCTTTCTTTTAAATTTAATCTGGCGAACGTGCATGTGCGTGAAGCTGTGTGTGTATGTAAATGGCTCTGTGCATGAATGCTTGTACTGTATATTTATATGGGAATGTATGTGAACATGCGTAAATCTGGCTTTTTTTTCATCTTTTGTTCTTACTTTTGGGTCTCTTTTCATTGTTTTTTTCTTGCCCTATGTGAAGCACTTTGTATTGCTTATTTTGACAGGTGCTATATAAGATAACTATATTACTGGATTATTATTGTAAAATATTGAGGTCTTTATATGTATAGTGATGATTTATTTCAATGTTCAATGCAGCAGTCAGATAAGAAACACAAAACCAATGAGAGAAATTAACGTCAGCCAGAGCAGACGTTTCAGCAAAATCACTTCTCTTTCTTGAAAGCAGCAATTATTTTCAGTGCCGATTCATCTGTCAATCATTTTGTCAATTAATGAATAACTTGATTTGTCTATAAAATGCTAGAAAATTGTGAAAAATGTCAATAAGTGCTTCTTAAATCCCAAAATGACGTCTTCAAATGTCTTGTTTTGTCCACTACCCAGTACCCACATACATTTGGTTTATTGTCATAGAGGAGTAAAGAAACTAGAAAACACTCATATTTAAAATATTGGAATCAGAGAATTTTCACTTTTTTAACTTAAATTATTCAAATCAAGTAATCACTTATAAAATGAATTGGCAATTAATTTAATAGATGACAACTAACCAATTTATTGATTAATCACCGCAGCTCTATTCTTGAATCACTTCTGCAAGAGCCATTGTCGGAAAAGCAATATCCAGATAAACTTTTACAGTGGCGTTACTAGCTGCTAAAGATAGACTTGATGCAAATTAATGAGTCTTATGCAGAATATAATTACGTATGGCAAATCTGTGTCACTTAAATTAATGAACTGTGAAGCATCAAATTCATCTGGTAATACTGTGATAGCTATGAAGAAACTCTTCTTTATTTAAGAAATGGGATCTCAAAAATGTTTTAGTCACTGAACCAAAACATTTCATCATTAATTTAATTGCATTTTGTCAGAGGGGGGGAATTTAATGTGTTGCTGAACTGTCTCCTCTGAATGTGTGGAGACACCAGTGTAAAAATGTAGCCCATGATAAAAACAGTTTTTAACATGATCCACATGATGAAGAATTCTGTGGATTCATAGACTCCACTTAGACAACCAATTAACATGGGGATATAGAAAACTCCTCATAGGTCTTGTTTGACAGCCGACCACAAGGGGGCAGTGTTGGTCCAACCTTCTTTCCTCAGGTCATGACCAGCAGCTCATGTAGTTGTAAACCAGCTTTGGGTAAACATGATGAAACCAAGCAAGACTTCATCCTTCATCCCTATTACTGACATTATTGACACTACATCAAATCTTAATAACCTCTAGTCCTCCTCACCTCATGTCCTGGATCAGGGAGACTTTGAGAGGAGGCATGGCTGATCCACCACCATCAGATTTACGTCTCTCTGTGTCATGTATGAAACCTGGCGTGGGGGGAAATAAAGGATGTGTAATTACAACAAGAGCCTCTAATTTGTTAACTAATTGTGTTCATCAGCTGATTGCATTATTTACCTGGAGGTCCCAAACCAGCTGGAGTTGCATTTTTCTTCTCCTTGCTCTCCTGATAGTGCAGCAGATGGGACCACAAGGCAGATTTACCCTGAAAGAGACAGCACACGCTAGTGTCATCATTAACACTGAGAGCACTATATTTCCGCCAGGTGCTGAGGATCAATCATGTGAGATGGTGACTGCGCTGTTGTTTCTCCTGACCTGTTTGACCTGCAGCCCGTGGCTCCAGATCCTCTCCAGCAGGTCACAGAGGCTCGCGATCAGAGTGTTCTCCTCGACACCGGTGATGCTGACCTCTCCGTGGCCCAACTCCACCGCCTCCCGACCCATCTTCTCCACGAGCATACGCTTGGTCTGCAGAGGAACACACACACACACATACTGTTGTTACCCCAGGCTCTGCTGACAAAGACATCACACTAATATATTGGAATCTTATTTTGTGCTGTTTGCTGAATTCAGATTGGTCATGCTCTGATATTCATTTCTGTGCAGCAGAATAAATAACTCACAAACAGGAGACTAATCTTGGTGACCGTAAAGCTTTAACTTGGTTTTGCAATGTTTTTTATTGTTGTTTCAGTGAATCACTCTGCCATCCTTTATGACTGCATTATGTTCTCCTCACTGCTGTTAGCCAAAAATGAGATGGATACAATTTAAGCTTCGCTTAAAATGATGATTATTTGAAAATGACATGCGGACATTATAAAACTGGTCATAACGCCAAATGATAGAGATTCTCTGCAAACTTTATTCCACTGCAGAACTCATTCAGAATTGCTTTGTACAACAAAGCTTAAAAAATGTGATTAACCTTTATTTTAAACTGAGACAACGCAACAGAGATCTCAGCAAAAAAGAGCAAAACCAATCAACTACAGCACAGTCAGCCATACACAGACCTTGTTCCTACACTCCTTCAGCAGCCCTTCAACAAATTTCCAGTTAGTCTGAGCGATGACAGACGGAGACAGGTTGGACAGTTTGGGCTGTCTGATGGTTGTGCCCAAGTTCCTCGCTTCCTGGATGTATTTCTAGTAAGAAACAGAGAGAGTTCAGTCAGCAAACCACAAAAGGAAATGGGGAGACGCTCTGACAGAGAAATCACCTCAGTTTACCGGTGGGCTCACGTCACTAGTGACGGTTACTACAGAGGAAGAGGGAAAGCTAGAGTAACTGAAGTCTACATAGACAACAAACTGCTGCACTATTACTGCAGTAAATACGCACACCTCAGCCTTCAGGTATTGAAGCAGTACCTCATCAACAGTGACATTCATAAAAATTAAACAAGCTGATTTAAAAAAAGAACTGAATTGAAAGATTCGCTGTTTTAATACAAATTGATTTTAAACACACTTGATTTAAAAAAGAACAAATATAATCAATAAATAATAATTCTTACTCTGAAAATACAAATCATATTCTAGACGTAAGGGAACATGCTTGTTTGGTACAGACCCCAGCAAAAATCACATCATCATTTTTAAACTTTTTTTCCAATAAAATTAAATGCAAAAAATTGTGACTCATATCACAGTAGTCATACTTGTCAAAATAATTGCACTATGATCTTTTTGCAGTGAACATGTTTCATCAGATAAAGCTCAGCTGGAGGAGGTGAAGGAAGCAGAGGGAAGGTAAAGACCACATGGGCGGACAAACACATGTGGGCCCAGCGTGAAGGCTAAAGGCTTCACAAACACATACCACGTCCACAGTCACCGACTTTAGACAGGGCTTGAAGGACTGCGAGAGCCAGTAGTAGTCAAGAAACAGCAGGAGCTGCAGCTCCGGAAACAAACACTCTACATGCTGCGAGTGATATGAGCGTGAGTATGAGAGAGGCGGAGAAAAGGGACAGTGACCAGAAGAGGTGTGAGAAGGGGTGGGAGAGCAGACAAGATGGTGAGAGCCAAGTCAAAATAAAGCAAACAGGTCATGCAAAATGAACAAAGACAACAGAGCTCAGGCAGTGCAGTTGTTCTGTATGAAAATGAGCTGAGAAAAGAAAACAGTGGTGACCTCTCACCTCTCTCTGGTCGTTGTCTAAATAAAGGTGCTCAGCGTGCTGCTTCTGTCGATCCCTCCTCCTCCACTGGGCGGGAGCACTCCTCTTGGTCCATCTGTAACACAAAGTAACACACAACAATTTGGTCAAATCTATAAAGAAACAATGCAAAACAGCAGTCTTATTCTAAATAAACATAAATGACAGTATTATTTTATGAGACAGTAACATTAAATATTCACTTGTTGCTGGTGGGCCCAGTGGAGAGCACATCAGACTGCAGTCGGGGGAAGAAGCCCTGTTCGTAGCGTCCCTGACCGATCTTCATGTCCAGCAGGTGTGGGTGGAGGGCGGTGTGGTCGATCTTCGCAACTCTCATCTCGATGTATTTCTCTGCGGAGATGTGCGAGGCGTGCAGCAGTCAGCAGTGAGATTACATCATTCTCATCTTGTTAATTTACCCAAATCATAGTGCTGTCAATCTCAAGACATGAGTGATTAAGTGTCCTTGGCACAACATGTCTTTGGTTTTGGAGCAAAATCTAATAAATTCATGACATCATTCCGTCATAAATTCTATACACTGTCAAAGAATCTACTAAAAATAATTAATCATTCAGGTTATGTAAGGGAAGACTTGTCTGGAAAATCAAATAACTAAAATATCCCATAGCTAGAAATTAAGTCACTTTACTTTTCTTCCTCTCACAATCATCCAACTAAGATGTTCATATTTTCTGTGGCTAACTGTGTTAAGAAATCAGGATAACTCTGACAAAGAACCTCTAATTTCTCTTTTAGGAAACGACTGACAACAGAAGAAAGAGAACATGTTAAAATAGAAAATGAGAAAAAAAGAAATTTCCTGCCAAACACCCACAGAACCAAAAGAAGTGGCAGAATAAAGGCTCAGAATAGATGTTTTTGTCTTTGAAGGAACCAGTCGTTCATGAATGCAGCTTTAGACAGTGATTCTCTGGTGCCTGATTAAAACCCCACCCATACATGGGCTGTGAGAAATACAATAGACCTTTGATGAATAAACAAAACATGTAAACATATGCACTTGATTAAAAATGTTGCAACAAAATGGTGAAAAAGTACAGGAATTTGAAATAGTCGACTGTCACTGTCTGAAGCTGAGATCCACTGGTACAAAGATTTGATTCCCTGCTTATTATTCCCCATTCACATGCATGCTGAAAGTTGAGATCACCACCATAAAGATCAGTTTAAGTGTTTGTAATTGTTAAAACATTACGTTCACCAAGCTTTTAAAAGCTGACATGTATGCAATGCATGAAGGATCTCACAGAGGACTCTTGAATTTAGAGTGATGAGTAAATAAAACACATTTACCACCTCCAAATTAAGATAAAAAACTGTTCTCTTTCAAATCTTGCTCTGCATCTCACTATGGGAAGCCCCTTCAGGCCTGACCAGTCATGGTCCATAGTGAGATATCACACTCGGTTATCAGAGAACTGGGGTTACACTGGTAACCTAAAGTTTTGTGTTCTGAGTTTAGGAGAACAGCTAATACGCAGACAAGTCCAAACGGAGTCCATCCGTCCTCTGTGAGTGTACCTAAAGTAATGCATTACACACACGTTCAGAGAGCTGCCAGCAGGAGGCGTTTGAAGTAACAAGAGCAAATATTACGAGGGTGAGTCTTGTCGTTCTCGAGCCCAATGGCATGAGGTCCAGGGACGACAAAATCAGCTTTTTCATAACGCTTTTTAAGCAGGTTGTCTGCAAACAAGACAGCAATTACCAGTCAGTTAACCGAAGAGAGCAAATCTCCGTCTGTCTGTCAGAAGTTAAAACCTTTAAATTAACTTATGACTACATTCAAATTAAAGAGTTTTATAGAACTTTTACAGTCTTTAATTACATTTACAAAACTTTGTGTGTGTTGGCTTTGCACACGGTCATGATCAAATACTACAGAGGTCCATTTGTTACTGTGTGAAGGTGAGATATTATGGTCAAGCTATTAGTTTTCAAACTAAAACCTGTGTCTTTATGTGTCTGTTTTCCTCAGGATGTGAGGCCTTTATCACAAGATAGAGATGGGTCCAGAGGTCTGAGGTACACTGATAAATTTGAGTAAATATTTGTGGCTTTGAGAGCAATCAAATTATTCCAAAGTCTTTTCATATTTCTCTGAAATCCACAAAGCTCTGAAGGATTTTCAGGCCCGGTCTGTTTTCCTTACCTGCTTCCTCAATAGTTGTGCATTTCTGGTACATGGAGGTACGCAGTGTGGGCGTGCGGACATTCAGCATGCGAATCTTATCCACACGGGCGTCAAACACCCTCAGCGTGTGCTCCTTCTCCTCATCATCATGACAGAGGATCTTACTATCGATGAAGGACGCAAACATCTGCGTCTCCAAGAAACGTGACAGGAAGGGCAGGTAGGGCTCTGGCTGGTCGGACAGGAAGGAGGCCTGCACACACAGATTTAAAGGGTGGAAATCACTGTCGTATACTATGGAAAAATATTACCATTCACTATACTCTGCCATTAATTAACTGTCTGTACATTTACCTTGTCAAAGTTCTGCATCTGGTCTCGATTGGTGAACCAGGACTCTTTGTCCTGGCTAGGCTGAATGACGAACACTTCGTAGTCTGCGAACATCTGGGTGAAACGGTTGGCAAAGACTTCGCGGACGTGGATGTTGAGCTGGTGCATTTTTAGATCTTCCTCGTCACACTGAGCACGCATGTCCTTATTGCTGCTGGCATCCTCCCTCACCTCCAGCTGTTGTGCACCAGTGTCCATTAATGGGAAACAGGATAAAGTGTGTGAGAAAGACGTCTGATGAAGAAAAGCAGCAATTTTTCATGGTATCTTATCTGACTGTTATCTCAGGCTGCTGATGACGCAGCAGGGTTATGGGAAGGGAAGTCAAGGGCATCTGGTTTGATTTATGACTCAAAGTACACTGAAGAAAAGGTCTTGTTTTTAGCGTGTCAGTGGGTCAGCTGGACAGATGCCAGCACTAGGGGGCTACAACAACACATACCACTGGATGTATGCTGAACTGTAAAATTCAATCACTGCTTCGCTCCCTTAAATCAAATTCAGCAGCGAGTTTAGATAAGAGTACTTCTAAGTGACGTCTGACCTCGTAGCTGGAAGACTATACAGACGATGAGCTAATCCTTTCATGGAAAGCTAATGCTGGCCACTAGCGCATAAGCCAATTAGGCTGCACATACAGAGACTTTCTCTAATTAGCAGCCGATTCATCCGTCTATCAGTCTTCAGAGGGAGTATTCCACCGTAGTGTTTGTAAGACTCTCAAGCCAAATGAGCTTGTACAGATGCCAACTACATCTGTTGATATCAGAGTCTATAAAGGGTTTCTGTCATCTCGGCTGTGAGACATCGACCAGCAACATTTCAAAAGGAGTCGATGCTTTAAACTGATGAAGTCTCTTGGATGGATAAACATCTCCACAGTGCTGTGGGTGGCACTGTGTGCTCTATTAACATGGTGCTGCGAATTAGATAAACAACTTAACACATTCATTTACCATTTTAAAAGCACACTTTTTAATGAAAAACTTCTGTTATGAAACAACAATTTTTCTCCATTTCTATGTGTACTAACTAAACATGGATCCAGCCCACTGTGTGGTACAGAAGAGGCTCCCTCTTTTGTTCGTTGTCCCTCCCTGCAATAATGATAATCATTGGCATTATTATCCATAATCTGTAACTGCTTATTCAGGGCCATAGCCGCCTGTAGCCTAACCCAGCTGGCATTGAGCGAGAAGCGGCGTACACTCTGGACAGGATGCCAGACTATCACAGGGCTGACACATAGAGACAGACAATCAGTCACACTCACATTCACACCTATGGGCAATTTAGAGTCACTAATTAACCTAACCTGCATGTCTTTGAACTGTATATTAAACAACAATAATCATAATGTAAAGACACAATAAAACATTAGCATTTTTTCAGTTCATGTAGTTATATTGATAATCACTCCATCCCTTTTCCTACCTTTGGCCCTACACCTCATTTATAAGCTGGCAAAATGAAGTTGCACATTAATGAGAAGATCCAGCTGAAAACGTATTTGCATTGCAATGGAGCTGCTGAAAGTAAGGATTTAAAAAATATATGTGCAGAGCTGATTTTACACTGAATGCATTAATTATTGAAACTGATTATTCTTCAATTAAATTTCAAAATTTGCTTTTAAGATTTCCCAGCATAAACAGATGTAACTATATATTTGTGCAGCCCATTTTTAATTCATGAGATGACATCATTTCCAGGGTTCCTACAGCTTAAGGCAAGTTTGACTGAAGACTTTTGAAGACTGTTTAAATGTCACTTGAAATGAAACCTTTCCAAAACTGAAGAAAAAAACACAGACTGACATCATCCTCGGGGTTAGGGACAGTTTTGTCCAGATGTTAATTTTAACATAAAACATGACTTTCTTTGGAAAATATATTCCTCCAAGTTTGAACAACTTTTTGCATTAAATGCACACAGCCCCGCATGCACTGCCTTGTACTGGTTTCTGTAAAGCCACAAACTCTCGCTGAATTTGCACTTTGCTGTCATCCAGACACAGTGACAGATTGCTAGTAGACAGTGGATCTTCTGTTTTTTTAGTCCAAATGAAGGCTTTATTTTTAGATTAATGGATTCAGTGCCTTTTAGGACTTTTTAAGGATCCATAGGAACCCTGATCTCTCACCTTCTCCAGGCTGACACCCGTCCTCTTGACCAGCGCCTGCAGTCTGGCGATAGTTTCATTCTCCCTCAGCAGGTAGGAGTTGAGGGGCGAGGCCAGGTTGCCGTTGCGCTTGTCAGAGACCATGTCAACAGATCGGAAGCCCCTGTACTTGGCCTGGCTGTCACTGGAGTGAATATTTCCCTCTGGGGACACGCCGAAGGACATGAGCACCTCTGAGATCTCCTGAATGAACTCGAGTTTGTTGGGTAACTGGGGCAGATCCTCTGGCAGTTCGATGAAGTGGTTGTCGATGTCCACAAAACACAAGTTAGCCTGGAAGAAGACAAGGAACGAGATAATTGATCATGAAAAACATTTTTTAAAAAAACAAATATATCGAGCCTAATACACGAAAAAAATGTTATACTACTCTTATCTATCTATCAAGTCTACAAGTCCTAATAACATTACAGTTCAACCTCCACATTTACTTGACACGTCTAAAAGCACATTACACTTTCTACACACACCTGTCTTTGTATAAAATGGGAAGCAAAGAGGACCGGCTCCTAATGAGCTAACTGATGACTGAAAAATCAAACTGACCTTGAAATACCCCTGTTTACTGAGGGCACTGTGTAGGTTAAATATAGAAAGTCCAACACATCTGGAGTAACCAGATACTCCAAAGAAGCTTATAAAGCAGCCACAAGAGGAAAGAGATGGAAAAACTGTCCACCACGTCTTCTGTCAGCAGTTCAACAAATGCCTTACCTATGCAGAACGACAATAATAAAGCTGCTTGTTCTGACTGTAAATGAAAACACTGATGAAATACAGCGAGCATGTTTGGGTGCCCAAAGAAATATAAAGACAAGGAAGGATTTATTCACTTAAGTCCAGATCTTGTCACATAGTTTTGCAGCATCAGAGATGACCCAGTAACGGTCGAAAGAAAGCACATGTGCACAGAGGCAAAGGTTGATTTGCAGTCTGTTTTAGCAGTGGGACAAATAGATGTGGGAGGATCCACAGTGCTGTTCACACTCCTCAGTACAGTATAGACTAATATGAAAATCCTACAACAGTGAATTCAGCAGCAATTTGCTACCATTTTAAAGGCAACTTTGCAAATAAACCAAATGAAGATCGCAAACACCATTAACTGCTCTATTATAAACATTTTCATTTCTCTCATGAGCACACTTAAGCTCTCCAAAAATGTACTTAAATTTCTCCTTTCATTGTCTTTAAAATTCTTAAATTTTGGGGAAAAAAAATCTGAACAGGAGGAGAAATTAAACTCTATCTGTCCTGATGTATGTTTTGTCATAGAAACTGCTACCTAAAAAAATATAAAGAATTTCAAAATAAACCAAAAGAAGAGAGTTTTGACTCAGTATGTTAAGACGCTGAGGTGTGTTTGTACCTCCTGTGGTAGCTCTAGCTTGGTGCGGTCGTCTTGTCCGTTGGAGTGGAGGCCCATGAGATACGGCACAGGAGCATCCAGGAAGTGGAGGAGGGAGGCGGGCAAAATGGGAACTTACACATGCTGCCACTGGAAGGGGAACATTAAGGCTGTGATGCTCTCTGCCACTGTCATCAGCCTCTGGTAATCTGTTTCACACACATAAAGAAGAGAACTGTGGTGAGGGACAGACTGTAACAATGTTTAAGATGTGCCAGGAGAATGTACAGCACAACATTGTCACCTGATTGGTGGTTTCAACAGCACAACCATCACAATCACCACATGCAAATGCCCATTTAAAGACATGGTAAGTGATAAATTTAAAATTAACTAGACAAGACTAGAGGACTGAAACCCATAGAGCAGAAACATGCTGCTTTACCGTTCATAATGTTCATTATTCTACACTATTAAAGTGCATTTTTGAGACAAATTCCTGACATCAATACAAAGGCAAAAGCACTCTTTGCCATATTTTATTTCAGTAAAAGTTCTGGACAACACTGCCTTTGTCTGATAAATGTTTATTCCTTCACTTCGGCCATTAAACATCATATGACAGAAGAGTTGTGCAACATGACGGTCTGTTGTTTCTGTGGGTTCACACTGTTTATGCCTCAGCTATTCTGTTGATAGAAATCACCTGCCTCAGTTTCATTGATCAGCTGATGCTAAAACTACAGTGTGACTACAGCTGGGTTCATTTCCAGTTTTGCCGGTCCAGTCCGGTGTACGAGCTTAAACCAGTTTGTTTTAATGCAAACCAGTTGAACTGGCATTTGTCATTATGACACATTCTGACAAATTAAAAAGTTGCCTACATCAGCAACCTCTGACAGTGTCACAGCATTAAAGCCAACTTATATTGAATTAGTAATAAGCCTCATGACAATGCGATTAACAAAGCCACTCGTGTCTGACAGGCTGTGGCTCAAGGGTAGAGCGGGTCATCCACCAATTCAATCCCCGGCTCCTTCAGTCTGCGTGTCAAAGCATCCTTGAGCCTTGAGCAAGATACTGAACCCCAAATTGCTCGCAATGGCTGTTGCATCGGTGTGTGACTGTGTTAAAAACTGAGTAGCAGGTGGCACCTTGTATGAACGTGTGTGTGAATGGGTGAATGTGACTCGTTGTATAAAAGGCGCTTTGAGTGGTCGGATGACTACAAAGGCGCTATACAAGTGCAGGTCCATTACCATGAGCAATTTACTACAGAGTGGAGGCCAGTGTTGGCAACATGAAGGAGATCAAATTTCAGTACTTGAAAGCTTGTATTTTTGGGGGTGACTAGAGAAGATATGACAGAGCCAGTCTCTCTGGAAAACTAAAACTGTGCCAATATGAAAACATTTTGGATTTGAAGCTGACAAAAGTGATGTCTTAACTGGCTCCAAGTGCTGTTTTGAGCTCAACTTTCATCGAAGGCCGTGTTGCTATTTATACCTGTCACTCGCTTTGAAGGCGCTGCAATGGACGAAAAACAGCTGATTATTAAGATTTAAATCACTACAAAACCAAGATAAGGTGGCAGCTGGAGGGTTCGCTCAAGATCTGAAAGTTTCTAGTAAATGGCCACACTAAAAACAAGCTAGGCTACTTGCTGTTGGCTATACCATTTGTCATTTTCAGTAAATATCACAATATAAAACTGAGTTTTCTATTTTAGAAATTAAACATAAGACGGAGGAAGATAGCAAGTAGGCTAGTCACCCATCTTTTAAGTGGTTAGACGTCTCTAATCTGATCTTGAGGGCACAGCTGAGAGCTACGTGCTTTGTTCACATGATGTCACAGAAGTGCATATAAGACAGATCAATGTGGACAGAGAGCGCTGATGCTACTTAATGCTACGTGATAGATGCTAGTTTTCTGTTGGAACATGGTGTCATTATGTTTCACTCAGGAGCAGCTGCTGAGTTAAGTGGGATACCTGGTAAAATTTGGTAAACCAGCCTGGTCCGATGTTTGGCTTAATATCAAACTGGTTTGAACATTTTTAAACTGGCCCAACCCTAAACATGACTGGAAGTCTGAAGCCACAGAAGCAGTGCAGCAGCTGTTTTCTGCAGGATTCAGTAGTGAGAGCACAGTGTACAGACAAAGTAGACAAACATGACATGACAAAGGAAAAACCCAACCCTACTACAGTGTTAAGTCTTCGTCTGGTTGTCTCTGTTATTCTCCACTCTGTGAATATGGGAGTGGAGTGGAGATCAATGACTAACCTTAAAGGAATTGGCCGTAATGAGTCTCAAGCTGTGTCCAAATTTAGGAAGGGGATCTTCTGATAAAGACTCAAATGTGTCAGGACAGTTTTAAATTATTTACAGCCTTTGGTGTCTCTGAGGCTAGATTTCCTTCTCAAATGAGATGATATCTGAGGAAGAAGTCCTATGAAGGACCTCTGTGGCCTGCATCCTTTGGAGGATTCAGACTCTGAGCAGTGACACAGCCACAGTCAGCTGACCCTCTGGCTGATGTTAAATTCCTTTGTCATGACACACTGCAACACTCCTTCATGCTCAGGGTTGGTATACACGCTGCAAATATGTGTCCAGTCCTCCTCATCTGCATTCCTGCTCTATGCTGTTGACACCTACTGTACATTCAGCAGCAGCTCTGCCTCTCCTCTTATGGTGCCAAAACAAATGCCATTCCTTCATTTGGTCATGTGCTGGTCCATGAGAAGAGACTCTCATCCCCAGTCTGGGCCTCCTCCTCAGCCCCCCCTCCTTCTCAGCAGGCCTGCTTCTCCCAGGATGGGGACAAGAATACTAACACCACCCGTCTGCTCGGAAACTAGGCCACCATAACAAGACTAACAAGAAGCCACTTTAACTCAGGTCATAAAGGGTCAAGTGCCGTTGCGTATATGCACAGATGCATGCTAAGAACATTTTATAAATGTCGACACTGAGAACTGGTAGCAGATTGGACTTGAAGTGATGCTTAAACTGTTCAGTTTACATACAGAGTGCAAAACGATGCAGCACAGCAGGCTAAAAATACACTGAAGAAGTGAAACTGCTGCAGTTTTCGTTCTGTTCCTCTAATGAAACAACTTGCTTGGCAACTGTATTCTGTGTTTTCTTATTAGCCTCAGTTTGTACTATGGCAATAACCAAGGTTACCTCCTGATTTTGATCAATTCATTTTTTAATTTGGTCAGAAGTTAATGGAAAGCAAACCATTGACGTATTCTGTGGTCACTGCAGAGACTTAGTCGTAACAACTCTGACTAGTCCTGCTGTTTGTTCATTTCATACATTAGGAGTCTGAGCCAGGGATGCAAATAATGGTTCATGTTTTGATATAGATTAATCATTTGAGTAATTTTTTGAGGAAAAAAAAAGTCAAATTCTCTGATTCTAGCTTCTTAAATGTGAACATTTTCTGGTTTCTTTACTCCTCTATGTCAGGAGACTGAACATCTTTGAGTTGATGACATAACCTAATCCTGGCCTTTGGAAAACATTGATCAGCCTTTTTATCCCACCATTTTCATTTCATGCGCTAAACAACTAATGGCGAAATCGAGAACATTATCGTTAGATCAACTGACAATGAAAAAGTCATTAGTTGCAGCCCGAATGAATAGTTAGATTTTGAAAACGTCAGAAATTTTTTTTTTTTTTTAACCTTTATTTAGCCAGGTTAGTCCCGTTGAGATTAAGAATCTCTTTTTCAAGGGAGACCTGGCCAAGACGGTCAGCAGCAAAAACACAAAGTTGCAGACAGAGACATACAGGGAGAACAAGTACAATTCACAAGCACTAAAATTTGCATAAAGAAAAACTACCAATAAATCAAAACGAGTGTTTCTGGGAGTAATTTGAACAAACAGTCACTAAAATATCCTAGAGCCCAAGATGTCTTCACATTTCTTCTTTTCTCTGATTAACAGTCGAAAATAACTATAAAGATCAAATCCTTATAAAATGTTCAGCATTATTCCTTGATATATGATTTAACAACTTATATATTATCAAAATATTTCATTTCCTGCCAATCATCCTGTGTGATTAACCAACTAAGTATTTCACCTCTAGCAAAAACTACATAATTTAGTTAACTGATATTGCAGCCTAAAGAAACAAAACAAACACGTTCTCAGACTAAAATGGAAATTGATAATATGTGAATGACAAGCTGTGAAAAAGGGTTTTGAATTCACAAAAGTATGTCTTGTCTATTGGCGTAATATGGTAATGTGAGTCCCTAACATGCAAAAAGGTTATACAAAAAGAGTGAGTAATGTCCTGAGCTAAAAAGGTACAGTGTGATCATCTGTGCATGGCTGAAAGATTGATTGAGCTTGATTCTGTATCTCAAAGCCAAGGCCGAACACACTGTGCTGACAGACGTCCAGCTTCAAATTTATGCTTTTAAACTTTAAGCTTTAAATTTCAGGTGCAGCATCTCCGTGGCTCAAATGCGCGTTGTGTAACTGCAACGTCCTCCCTCTCCTCTCATCCATCCTGTCATTCTTGACTGCGTAAATCACATAAAGAAAGACTCAAATAATTACAGCAAATAATGGCTTAATTGTAGCATGTCACAAATGATTGACACATGATGGGCTTCCTGTTCAATAAGGATGGGAGAAGCAGCAGACAGTCTTTGAAGATCTTTTCTTTTATGGCTTCACGGAAGAAACGCTGGCCTTTTCTTTATTTATTTTAAAGCAGACTTATGAATTCCGGTGCTATTTATAGCACATAACACACACAGTTGTCTCCTTATTTGCAGAGCATCCCTCTCCTCCTCCGTGTGTGTGTGTGTGTGTGTGTGTGTGTGTGTGTTGAAGTGGGGAGTCTTTTCCCAACAACCACTCATTTCTTCTCAGTGGAAGATTGCCAGGGCTTAACTCTACACAACACCCTTCACACGTTCTGCAGTGATGAGCCTCATGGGGGGGTGGAAAAAAAGAGGCATGATGTCACTTCCAACCAATAATAATCACCCTGCATCACTGCCATCCTCCCTGTCTCCAGGTTGCCTAGCAACACCACAGCTTTCCCCCCTTAAGAGCCCCCCCCCCCCGGCCCCTGGCGTTTTGTAAACCATTTGCCTTCTCTTGCCATTGTAATGGATCCAATCACCACACCAGACCAAGCACTCTTAAATGATTTCCTTGTTTCTCCTCACACACACACACACACACACACACACACACACACAGTCTCTGAAACAGCGAGCAATGACATGAATGCCACCTTTGCTAAAATTCTATTCTACTAGCAAATTATAGCTGGGATAACTGAATCTTTACTGAGCAGTTACCACTGATAAACACATAAATGCAAACAGATATCAAGCCGTCTGGATTTCGGGACTCCCAAAGGGTTCCTCTTTAAATCAAGCTCCCATAAAATTAAGTAGCTGATTGTCAGACTCTTGCTGTGTGTTTTGTGTAAAGGATGAATCACAAAGGACAGCCAAAAAAGGCCTACATAGCCCAGCAACTCAAATGTACACACAAGACGAACCTCACACACAAACACACACATTTACATGTGCGTCTTGGGAGCAGAAGCTTCCTGTGATGGGTGAGGGGGTCCAACATTTACACAAGCTGGTACTCACACTGCATCACTTTAATGGAAACACTCAACAGGTTATGTAAGCTCTTGGATAATACTTCCACCATGCATATCAAACATGTCTTGTAGTCTTGTAGCCAAGTGGAACTGACACTGTGGGAAAGTTGGTCCGGACGTGTGTGTGTGTGTGTGTGTGTGTGTGTGTATATATATATATATATATATATATATATATATATATAAATATAAATATAAATAGGCCACTTAAGGCTACACTGAGTTATGGTGTTTATTTTGAGCCGTGGTGAATTACTGAATTACATAATGAACTCAAAGAATTAAAGTAACCAGGAAATTTAAAGAAAAATGTTCAGCAAGGATCAACAAGGTCATCCCTCTTTCAGACCATCTGAGGTTTTCTAGTCTCGTGTCATGACACTGATATGTCTCTAAGCTGCAGACCCATCTCTTGAGATTGCCTTAACCAGAATCACGACCTCATAATGTCAAAGCACAGCTGTTACATATAATGCATGAATTTCCTGTGCTTCGTAAAACGTATACAGTGGTCATGAAGTACGTCCATAGTACTATACAGAATTTAAATGTAAGCCTGATATCTTGTCTATTTGTTTTAAAAAACATGTAATGTGAACAAGATGCAGAGGTACTTGAAATCAATGCACCCTAATGGGACAGGATGCTAAGGGTCACATGAAAACACTGAGTGTAACATTAGCAGGATGGCTACTTACGCTGTGAGTAGAGCAGTATCTGCATCTCGAGGAGGGCACAGGTGAACAGCTGAAGAACGTTCTCCATCCCCAGCAGATTAATCATTTCACCGATGGAAAAGTCAAAAAGAGGCAGCTCACATGTGCTCGGCCTCTGGCACACCACAGGCCCGTACACGCCTGAGAACTTGAGGGAACGCCCGGCAGGTGGCAGGGGCACCTCATAGAGGATGTTGTAGATGAAGCTCTCGAGTGGGAGGGGCGGGGGCTGGGGGGACGAGACAGCCTGGTGAAGCTGCTGCAGCACCTTCCTGCAGGCCTGAGGGAAGGCCATGGGCGTTATCAGGCAGATGCACTTTGACACGTACAGCGTGTCGCGACTGATGTCGTATGAGTTAAAGCGCTGCAGGCGGGAGATGGCGGGCGCAGCGTGGAGCATGGGACGAGGCTGGGAGTTTTGGTGCCGCTGGTCCTCAGGTCCCGGTGGCGAGGTGGGAGTGTGCAAGATGTCGTACTGCTCTGCATTGTGCATGTGGTAAAGAGTCTGCATGGCACTGCAGATCTGCTTACTGGTCACTTCCTCGAAGAAGGTGAGGGCAAAGCCATAGGTCCGAGAGCCATCCTCTCTGGTGATGATAAACGAGTGGAACTGAGGCTCTCGGGAATCGACCTGCGTCCTGAATGACAGACCCTTCGGCATACAGAGCTGTAAAAGGACAGTCAGAGGAGGCATCAGAGGGTTGAAGAAAAGGAAATATGAGGGAACATCAGACTTAATCAAAACCTAATAGCCAGGGCTATTTTACACGATTTTCTGTCTAAATTAAAGGCACGGCTGCACAATGGAGCAATCTGTTAAATTGCTGTCTTTCTGAGAGTTAGATGAAACTCTTGTGTCTGTGCACAAAGTACAGAGCTGGAGTTCAAAACACGATTAAACTAGCTTACCATGAGGACTGAAGCTGGCCTTGCTCAGTTTGACGTTCAAAATTACACCTACCAGCACCTCTACAACTCACTGACATTATTTATCTTGTTTAACAACAATACCTTACACAAACCGTATTTAAAAATGACAGTGTGAGGTTTTAGAGGGAGTTATGTCATGTAGCTCCAACATGAATAGGCTGTCTCTCTACAGAGTTTAAAATGTAATTACACCACAGCCACGCAACTCCCTCTGAAATCACCACATTGTTTTAAAATAAGGCCCCTTTTCCACTGAACAAAGAAAACCACTAACACCCACAAACATCTGGCTTTTGTGTTTAATTGAAAACAAAACATCAAACAATCCGTCTCTGTCCAAGCAGCACTTGAACAAACTTCCAAATTAGTCTGCACCAGGTTTGAGAGAGGGACTTAAAAAGTAAGGGATATAAAAAAGACGTAACCAATGTAACATTATTGCTGGTCTCCATGCTGCTTTCTACTGTTTACTAACCTGGTCTACTGACAATGGGAAAGTAGTCGGGTTTTCCCACATTTAAAAAACGTGCTAATTCTGGTGGAAATGGGGTACTACTGTCCTACTAAAGTGAGCTTGAGATGTGCTGGTAAGTATAATTTTTTACCTTTGGACAAGACTGTTTACAGTCTTGATGCTGAGCTAACTGCCCCCAAACTATAGCTCCATAATCCGACATGAGAGTGGTATCAACCCTCTCGTCTAACTCATGGGGAAAAAAAGCAGAATTCAAAATGATATAGTATTCCTTTAATGATTCTACGCGGACTAACAAAATCAGTTCCTAATATTTTTCTTGTACACGTTAGTATTGGATAACAGTCAAACACACTTCAGTGCATCAAACATTAACTTTATGTGGTTTGCATGCATTTGCTGTATCACAAACCAAAGGAAAAATATTCATATTCATTCATTCATGATTTCAACCCTATCTCCCAGCCATCCTACTATTCTTAAAGGATATGTTAAGGAAATGTTACAATTGTATTGATCATACCATGCCCACTGCATCCTGGTCAAATGGATTCCACTCGACATTGTCTGGATAATGTGCAAGGACTTTGGATTTAAAGGTTCTCCGCAATGGACTCTGCTCAAAATTCTCACCTGAAAGTGAAACAAAACAAAGAGAGAGCGACAAAACAAAAAGGAGACAAACAATTAGCACATGTTCCCAGATGTGCATGAAAGTGCAGAAGAACAATTTGATCAGAAGCAGGTTTAAAGTGCCAGGCGCAACTCCGGTGGAAAGAGCAAGTCAGCATATTTGTCTTGAGGAGGATTGTATTGCATCATATAAAGCTGTCATCCGCATCCTGCTCTGGACAGCAAACTAAATGAAATATTCAAACAGGAAGCATGTAACACTCCAAAATATGTAATTTGTTTTGTGGATTGTAATGCTTCCTGACAGCTTTAATGGCAATACAAAGAAACACACAAAATAATCAATCATAGAAAGCACAAATTGAGTTGATTTGAACCCAGAGTGAAGCAGAAGTGATGCACACACCAAGGCAGCACTGAAAAGTCATTCAGAGTGTGGGGGGAGAGTAAACATTGACCAAGCAATGCCAGCGCAGGCAGCACTGGGTTTGTGTGTGTGTGAGAGAAACAGAGGCGGTGATTGTCAAACATCAGCTCATTGTTCAGCTGCTGCTGAAGGATGTGAGGGAGGAGGGAGGAGGGCAGAAGATAAACCAGGAGGAGAAATCAGGGTGCGCAAAACAGAAAGTCCCCACACCTGTGCAGAAAATAACTGAGAAAACTCAGAATTTGAAATAATAAAAAGAGGGCTGCTGAGTAAAAAAAAAAAAAAAAAAAAAGATGTGGTAGGTTAAAGGTTGAAGGGTTAAAGCTGAGCTCAGGTTAAGAGGGGGAGGAGTGTGTGTGGTGGGAGGGTTACCTTCATTTGCCCCCGCCAAATTTCCTCTGGCCCCATCTCTGAATTTAGTAGCCTCTATATACTGGCATAAAGCTACACAACAAATAAAACAAAAATATAATTAAAAGCCTGGTTCTGGACGGGTAGCGCATCACTACTCAGTTTGTGCAAACACATCCTGACAGCTGTGCTCTCAAAGCTCCGCTCTGAGAACAAGCTGCACACAGGCACAGGACATTATCGTGTCTCTGTCAGGTGGGTATGCTAATGCAAGCCAGCTGGTTGGGTTATGATACAAGGATACAGTGTTTCTGTGTGTTGTAGTTTCCTCTTCTTCCAGAGATCATGCAAATCCATACTGCTCTACTATGGATTATATTCTCAGCACAGAGAGTCTACAGCCATGCTAGCAGCTCTGTGAGGCTCGACTTAGGCTCAGTGGTGCTTGGAGCTAAATGCTAATGTAAGCGTGCTAACATGCTCACAGTGACAATGCTAACATGCTATAATGTTCGCAGTTCCCACACATTTTTTGGACACAATTTCAAAACTTTTCCATTACTTTTTCAAGGACCCATAACAAAATTTAATGACAATTCCCAATGTATAACACGAACATTGCTCCTTACAAAAATAAATAAGTACATTTTAGAAGTAGTAGTAAGGCAACTTTGGGATTGATAATCTGACATTTTAATCAAACTGTCACAGCATTATTTTTCTCTTATTCAAACATATCAGATTCAAACTCTATTCAAACTTAATTTCAGTTGGTGGCATCCATGTAGGGAGAGACAGAACATTGGGATAAAGCAAAGAAACACCTTTGATAGTAAACAAATGACACATCGACACATTTTAGAGCTATCTTAGGTCACCAGCTACAAATAAAATGATTTGCTGTTATGTTACATTATGTGGAGGATTCTCCAGAGAAGATTACTGTAACAACTAACTTCATTACACCCAACAGAATTCCATGATTTTTTTAAAAAAAACTTTCAAGGATTTTAGTAATGCCTTGCCCTTTCCAGGCCTGGAATACTAGATTGTGAAATTTCATGACTTTCCCTAACCATGGGAACCCTGAATGTTTAGCATGATCACCATCTTAGTTAAGCCTTAGCATGCCAACATTTGCTTACTAGCACTAAATTCGTCATTCGTTTCAAGCCCTAACACACCAAGCCGATTGTTGGTCATCAGTCAATTAGTATGTTTACATGCACAGTTAAGTCAAGCTACAGTTATACCTAGACTAGGCCATTTATTGGACTGTCCTTGTCTCAGTATACAAGCCCTGGAAAGAAACAATTTCTAGACCAAAGTATGTTCGACTCCACTACAATAGGTGGCGACATGCCCCCTTTCAGTTTGTTGGTTTTCCAGTTTTCCGGTTGACCAATTAAGTGACAGTCCAAACAATCAACACAAGTTAGCTACAGTTAGCTAGCGGCAAACTGGTACCATGGTGGACAACTTTACAGCTATGTACATTCCATCTGTCCAAAAATGCACAGCTCTGGTTGTAGATTCCGCCATGTTGTTCTTCTTCTGTTACAAATTTAATGCTATTCGACTTCCTGGTCAAAGCCCAAGGCGGAAACTGTGGAGCATGCGCCAAGCGCCTGAGCCAGTTTGGGTCCAATTGACTGTATACATGCAGGAGTAATTCGACTTCCGGTCGCATTATCTGGGTTTAGTACGATTTCAGTCAGACTAGCATGTTTACATGTATTTTAAAAGTCCGATTTAAGTAGGACAGACACAATAAACTGATCTTCTCTAATGTCATGTAAACCTACTGAATGTTGGGCCGTCAGTGAGCATCTGTCACCCTAGTCGCTGCAGAGTGTCCCACACCGTTGTCCCTTGTTGGCCCCACAAGAAGACACACGGTAAGTTAATAAACACCTAAAGTCAAGAGGGAGTGAGACTAAAGCAAACTTGTTACATAAGATAAGATTTTTTTAAGTCATTGAGCTAAAGTAAATCTGCTCTGTTCTTTTAAGATTAGACTGTGTTGTTCATGTGCCAACAGGCTAACTAGTGTCAAAATGGTCTTCCCATTTTGAATGATGAATACAGACTAACACCGTCTGCTGGTACGGAGAGTTATTTCCTCTCACGCAGGTGCAAAACGTGTGTGCTGGTTGGACGTCGGCTATAGTCTTTGCAGTGTGTTCATGTGCAACTTTTTAGCTGAGACACATACCAGGTACGGCGATGAAACAGATGGCCTTTGTTGCCGCAAGTTCTCTGACATCGGTTTGGTGTGTCTGGGACATTACTGGTATTTAGTTGTAACCAGTGTGTTTGACAGGGTAAGGAAGTTGGAAATGAATGACAAACAACCAGGCTTTGGTCTTTTTATGGGATTTGGTGACCATAAAGAAAAATGTAGAGTCATGTTAGCCTCATCCTTCATGATTTAGCAGAGGGTATATAAAGCACAAATATTTTATGGAGACATTATGTGACCGTTTAATACATTTCTAACATTTTGTCCCTGTAATCTGATTTTGACACTGTGGCAGATCTAACATGTGTATCCTATCAGAGTCATGAGGTTTACTGTGTGAATGTCTGCGCTTGTGTTGCAGACTGACTCGCCCTGGAGCTGAGTTGGATTATCTAACATTTGAAATGAAAAACATCCTTTATGCAACCAGGCAATGCTTTTTGCTGTCTCCTCTTCATGCATGACATTTGCCAAGCACAAATGAAAAAAAAGTCCTGCCGGCAGAAACACACATTCATGCAGCATGTCAAAGCCAAATGTGAGCTGTATGACACACGCCGTCGTCTCTTCTCTAGTTTCAAAGTGAAGGTGCTCTCGGGTTGATGTGGCCTATGTAGTCAGGGGTGAGGAAAATCCATTTTCATTGCACTTATGATAAGACTTAATGATGACACAGAGAGAGAGAGAGAGACAAGAAATGATGACTCTCTTAACTCTCTTCCCTAATGATTACATTAATTCAGTTCGTGGCAGGTGTTTGAACAAGACGCTTCAGTTTGATCTTGGAAAGCATTTACTGAGAATCCTAGTTAAAGCTTAAAGAATTAAGTAGTTTAATCTGCTGGTTACTTTCATATTCAAACTGCCTGCGGGGAAGAAACTACGCAAGGAATGTAAACTTTGACTCCAGCAACCAAAGATAAGTCAGACTGGGAGATTACTAAAATTAGTAGGGATGGGAAAAAGATTATCCAGTTACTTACTATTTCTTTGACACTGTTACTCCACAATGATGGCACCAGAATTAATGTTTAATCACCATATTCAAGGGATATAATTGTTTTATTATTTTCTTCGAGAGGATAAAAAAAATGCTTTAAGTGCACAGCTGAACTCCTGTTGTTCGAGAGCGAGAACATGTCAGCTCAAATCCCAAGACGTAAATGTACATCACCAGTAACTAACTAAACACAAGGGGGTTTGTTGATTGTGGAAATCATAATGTAATTATCCCTGTGCATGCTGGACGCTTTCAGGAAACACAGACAAAACATTCTTGTCTAACATGCAAAATAAGGACAGCATAACACAGTGTTAACATGGCCTACGTCGATATAAATTTACAAAATTATAAGAATAACTTGACAAAAGCCTTCCTTTGTGGTGTCGCTCAATGTGACAGGACTGTTGTCGTTGTCTCTCAGAGAACACAAAAGATAGTGACGCTAAGGTTTGTCGCCTTTTTTGAGAGGCAACAAACCTCATCATCTGGTACAAGGACAACAATAATGGGTTACTCACAGAAGCGTTATGTGTGGTGTGTGTGGAATAATTTCACCTGGACTCAAAATACAAAATAAAAATAGCTTATGTCAAATAAATGATTATCATATGGTACTACTCAGAACATTTTGTTTTTGGGAGGCATTTTTATGCATTTGTTGGAGACTGTAGACAGGAAATGAAGGACAGAAATGCAACAAAGGTCCATGGCAGGAACCAGAGCAGTCCATAATTTAATGTTAAAAAGAGAAAGGAACTCAAACAGGAAATTGGATATTGAAATGATGAATGGATATTGTAAAACTGAAATTGAAACTCCAGAAATGGAAAATGTTGTAAATGCTAAAATCACATCAAAAGCCCAAAGAAGAACTGCACACTGTACAATTAGGGGAAAATGACTATTGGGAAATAATAGCTGAGATATTCCCCTTTTAATTTTAATTCTGGTAAAATGATCTTCAACTGAGGTGTTATACACCCTGACTTTTACAGCTTAGCACAATTCTCCAGGACAAATAAATTAAACATATACTTTAACATAGGAAGATAACCTGCCTATCCCTGCTCTCGTGCACAGCCAGCCTCAGGTTCAGTTGGCCAGACCATACAGGTGTTCCTTCTTTCAACCGCCATCTTCATCTAGTAATTAATGCTAATTACAAGCTAACTGCTTCACCTGGGGAAGACACTCATCAGAATGAGCACCTACAGTGTAAACATTTTTTCCATTTATCATATTAGCTTCCCAAACAAATGGACTGTGATGCCATGAGAGTGTGGACCGGTAGCAGTGGGAGTAGAGCGTCACTGAGTTCTGGCTCCTCGCCGCTTCGCCTCATCCTGTAAGCCAAGGACCACCCACAGCTCTGCACCCCTCCTGTGCTCGCACACCCTCACACCTACTGTAGCGTGGCCCACTAGGCTCAGACATAAAGGGATGTACCTCTCTGACTAGAAAGCTATACTCAAGCACGACTCGACTTGACTGCCCACAGCAGAATTTGTCGAAGACGCCGCTAACATTCCAAAATAGCTCAGCAGCAAAAACATCAACACTTATTCACCCAGAGGACCCCGCGCTGACAGGACATGATAGCTCACTCACAGCTTAAACTCACAGCCTTCACAGCTTGTGCTCCCAACAGAGACAATACAGGGCTTTCATTTTTTTCAATAAAAGGATAACATTTCACGAATAGTTTCTCAGATTTTTTTTCTTTTTACTTGTTACAGTGTGGGAAAGGTTTCTAAACTGGCACTTACAGAAGTTACAGAAAAGCAGCACACTAACACTGCTGCCTTTCCTCATTCAAATAAGTGGTTAACATCACTTACATGTGAGCAG